TACATACTGACTGACATGAGAATGTTGGCACAATTAGCTGATAAGTCCCAAATAGCAAAGATTGAAATGACTAGCCACAATTCCAATTCATTTCAAACAAACAAACAGCTTTTTTTTCTTGTCAACATACACTTTATCTTATTGATGTATAAAAACAAACAGAAAATAAATAATATTCACAATAAAATATAAACAAAATTTATAAACAAAAGAATAAAAAAAAGATGAAAATGTACAATAAAGTGTTGTTTTTTTTTGGAGAAAAATAAAAAAAGGAAACAGGGCATAAAACATTCACTATTCATAATTACGATAAAATTTTTCCGCCCATTTTACATATGGCATAGCAAATTGAAAATGTAATTGTTGGCGGGATTTTCGTAATATGGAATCTTTATAATAGAATCTTATCATGTCAATAAAAATGTTGTTGTTGATGTTATTGATGATGATGATGATGATCAGGAAGTTGATGTTCAATGATTGAACAGAAAATGATATAAATAAAAAATAGAATAGAAAAGTTATTATTAAAAAATAAAATCTAATTTGGATGAGTTAATAATGATACACACATTTTGAAATCATGAATCGATCAATGTTAGACCACCATCATTAGAAACCTGGAAGCACTACTACTGACAGACGGCCGTTTCATCCCAGTGTATGGGACTATTCATCAGTGGCAGTGCGCATCGACGATGATGTGGAGGACGCTGACTGGGAGGTGGTGACGGAAAGGTTGCTGGTGGAGTTCGACAGCCCGGCGGATAGGCGGGACGCGCTGCAGAAGTTCCGAGAGGCGCGAGTGACGGTGGATGGCGACCCACTCGTGCTGGCTGTGGAGCTGACTAGATTGCTGAGCCGGAGTCTGCCGAATTTGGATGAGGAGTCGCAAGCACAGCTGCTAGCGTCGCAATTCATTGAAAGTGTGTCTGCAGAGGTTGCCCAACAGTTGAGACTGGTGAACGCGGCACTACCAATGGACGTCACCGAGCTGGCTAAAGTAACAAGACAGCTGATGAAATCTTCAGCGCCTGCCTCAGTCTGTTCGGGGGGGACGAGTGTGGTGTTAGCTACTTATAAGTAGTATATGACGTGAGTGTCAATATAATGTCTGGCAGCAGAAGATGGGGGAAGATTAAGAAAGGAAGAGTTAGAACACAATGGAATTTGTATGAAACGCATTAATAGTGAGTGATAATGGATTGATGTTTTGCAACAGGAACAGTCCAGTTCGATATGATAAACTGATATTTTGCAAATGAACGATTTACGATATGGTTTTCCGATTTTACTGAGTCACTCTGTAACTTGAGATAAATACGATTCGGTTGCCCCACCTGTGTTCTCGTTCACTACATTTGGTGTCGCTGCCTGCTCGAAGGAGGAGCTCCCGTGGCCGAAGGAGTTGGAGGACAGACGACTCCTGCACCCCGCACAGGATTCGAACCCAGGACCTTCGGTATTGTAAGCGAACGCCTAACCATCTGACCGCCAAAGACAAATGAGTGAGGTCGCGCAAAATCCCTAGATCAATCAGAGTTAGATATTAACACAGTTAGATGCCGGCCCAGTGGTCTGATGGTTAGGCGTTCGTGTGCAAGACCGAAGGTCCTGATTTCGAATCCTGCGAGGTGCAGGAGTCGTGGATGCACATTGCCACTGATGAATAGTCCCATACCAGGACGGAACGGCCGTCTTTCTGTGCTTCCAGGTTTCTAATGGAGTGGTCTAACAATGATTGATTGATGATTTCAAATGTGTGTAAAAACACAAACCTCCAAAACTCTTCCCGAAAATATAATCTAATTATCGAATTGTATGTCTGGCTATCATCTGTATATAACATATATATAACATATACTTTAATAAACTCTGACTGGAATTGTCCCACTGGGGTTGCACTACTGGCCTGAAACTCGAGATAAAGAAGGAGTGTTGGCCAAGGGGTTGGTTAGTCACCTCATCCCATAAAAAAACCCAACTCGCTAAAAGAGACACTAACCAGAAAAAAAGTTGCTTTAGTAATTAATTATTTGAGTGAAAACTAGTTTGATTAAGAAATTTTCTCACAGTCATTGATATGAATGATGAAGTAATCGACAGTTTGGTCTTTGAAATAAACTGAAATAAACTCAAATTAATCATTCAAATTTCATTTGTCTTTTTTGAGTGTTAATTTAATGGAGAAGCATAATTAAAGGAGGATTTTAAATTATCTCAGCATATTTTTGTTAGTAGATAAGTTTGAATTGTTCAAAGGTTACAAATCCAGACTTTTAATTTTGTTTACTTGAATTAGACAGAAATTCGTGTGTGCATTGTACAGAGAAGCATCTATAGGAAGTGAAACAGTTGAGCGTATTGACCGCTTCAAGTACTAGGCAAGGATGGCAAATCAATTGATGAGGTACTTAATCTTCGTCAGTTGAGTTGGTTGAGACATGTATTTCGTATGCCCAACTGCCGCGACGAGCTATGTCTTGTGATGTAGGAGTAGATTTGAAGAAAGCTAGGGTCTGTCAAACTAAAACATGGTACAAATCCATGAAGTCAGCGACAAATGGATTGAGTCGTGTTGGTAGATGCAAACTACCTGGTTGGGGTTAGCGAGACAATCAGAACCGATGGTTAGAGACCCTGAATGACATGGCTCAAAATCGTTTGTAATAGCGTACACGTGCATCCACTCTTTGTTTTCTGAATTTCTCATGACCTTTGTCTTTCTTTTCTCAAATTAATTTCACTAGATTATACTCCTTGAATAACATCTTCAAACCCTAATCTTCCTGATTACTGCTCATACTACTTATACCACTATGAGATTTGAATGGATAATTACATCTCTGTGCTACCATCATATGGAAACTTGGATTGATCTATGTACCAATGAAGTTCTACGTTGTAACTGATTAAGTGCGAAAGTTTTAATGAATATCATACGTACTAATTTTTTTAGACTGAACGTGATTTTCTATTATTGTTAGAATTATTGAGAACAGTTTTAGCTTGTAGGTTTTTTAAGGTCAACCCTCTCTAACATCAATGCAGATGTCAATTATTTTACTCTCGTTACACTCCAGCTAGAAATAAAAACTATACCCTTGAACTTAAACTGTTTGTTAGTTCAACTTCATTACTCTCCAAATGACCTACTACCTGGTCGATGACAAAATCTCAAGTGATAAGTGTTTTTTTTCTTCTAAATCAATATAGCTTGTTTAGGTCATCAGTGTGTACGAACTTGACAGATAGGTCAAAGTAAGCAGAGGGAAGAGATAAAATTTTGTTTGTTGATCAGTATTAGACCACCATTAGAAACTTAGAAGTACTGGACGGCCGTTTCGTCCAGGTATGGGACTCATCAACTGTGCGCAAGCATGATTCCCGCTACTCTCAGGATTTGAACCTATGACCTTCGGTTTCGACGAGCGAACGCTTAACCTCTGGACCACTGAGACGGTTTTTTTAACAATGGTAATGTCTAACTTGGATCGGTTCACAGTGCTGAACGTCTTTATCCAGTGTTTTCAGTGGGCTGTGCTTTACACCTGAATAGGGTTGAACTCTACTAATCAGGACTTTTCACTAGAACTGGGAGAAATATCCTCATAGAGCTAGTCACTAATGAGAACATGGTTATTTAAATTATGGGATTGTGGAGATTGTTGAGTCACTTATATATATATATATATATATATATATATTTTACATTGTAAGTCTAACAAGTTACACGAATTTTAGTTTTTCTTGTCATTTAACTACCTTAAAAAGAATCCTGCTAATTACACATTTTTATTAGAAATATCTTTCATTGTGAATCATTGTATTCTCATGTCTGTCTTGCCCTAAGTGAACGTATAAAATAAATTCATTCAACTGAAAGCGTTATTTGACTTCTTATGGAAGGAAAAATCTGTTTGTTGCATAGAATACTCGATTGTTCGTACAAATTGAAGTCCGATTGTGTGTGCGCCATGAAATTGATGAGCCCTACATAACGAATTCCAGTAGAGCCATTAAAACCTAATACAAAATCAATCAATCGAGCAATAGCAACGTAAAACTACATACTTACGTACGTACGTACGTGCATCAGTTCATGTTGCCATACCACGTTAGCACCGAGCGGAATGGAATTGTCAATTCAAATCTCATAGTAATAGAGGTAGTAAGGGATTAGGATTAGAAGATATTATTGAAGAAGTATAATTCAGTAAGGTAAATTTAGAAATCTTTCTCCTGGTGGTCGAATGGATTATGAAGATGTCGACATCTGAAGGGAAGCACGGTATTCAGTGGACAGCTAGGACGAAGCTGGACGATCTGAACTTCACAGATGACCTGGCTCTTCTATGGCACACGCAACAACAAATGCAAGAGAAGACGACCAGTGTAGCAGCAGCAGCCTCTGCAGCAGTAGGTCTCAACATACATAAAGGAAAAAGTGAAATTCTCCGATGCAACACAACATGCACCAACCAAATCACTCTTGATGGAGATGCCTTAGAGGACTTTAACACCTTTACATATCTGGGCAGCATCATCGACAATCAAGGTGGATCCGATGCAGATGTGAGTTTGTGGATCGGCAAAGCAAGGGCTGCATTTCTACAATTGAAAAATATCTGGAACTCCAAACAACTGTCGACCAAAACCAAAATCACGATTTTCAATACAAATGTCAAGACAGTTCTACTGTATGGAGTGGAAACATGGAGAACTACGAAAGGCATCATCCAGAAGATACAAGTGTTTAGGAACAGTTGTCTACGCAAAATACTGAGGATTCGTTGGCCAGACACCATCAGCAACAACGTACTACTGTGGGAGAGAACAAACCAGATTGCAGTGGAGGAGGAAATCAGGAAGAATTGGTGGAAGTGGATAGGACACACACTACGAAAAGCACCTAACTGCGTCATGAGACAAGCCCTCACATGGAATCCCCAGGGCGAAAGGAGAAGAGGAAGGCCAAAGAACACATTACGCCGAGAAATAGAGAAAGATATGAGAGGAATGAACAAACATTGGACAGAACTGGAGAGGGAAGCCCAGGACAGAGTTGGTTGGAGAAAACTGGTGTGCGGCCTATGCTCGATTGGGTGTAACAGGCGTAAGTAAGTAAGTAAGTAAATAAGTAAATTTAGAAAGAGAAAGATAAAGGTGATGAGGAATTCAGAAGATTAGAATTAGAGAGAACACAAAGAGTGGATGCACCTGCGTCATTGTAAACGGTTTTGAGCCATGTCATTCAAGGTCTCTAACCAACGATTATTATTATCATCTCGCTAACCACAACCAAGCTACTCAACATCTACCAACCTGACTCAATTCACTTATCAATGACTTCATGGATTTATGCCATGATTTTTTTCGCCGCCCCATCATTGATGCTAGTAAGTTAGTTATCTGACATCAGATACAGATCATCAATCAATTGCCCATAAGAGATAACAAATAGCAAAGCAAAAGTGTGAAGACGTAATAATTATCAAAAATAAATTCCACTTACCTCATTGCTCTGGCCATTTTTTCATAATCCATCAGCTGATTATTACGATAATGACCCCATTCTTGTGCAGCCAAATGTGTATTTACAATACGAAATACACCAATAGTTTTGTTAACCCATTGAAATGCACTATGTTTCGACATTTTTTCTAAACGATACAATATAAATTGCCATAATTCCATTTTTGGTTTATTTTTCTGTTGTAGTTGTTGTTTATCTGAATTAGTAGTCAACATGAGTAGAGGATGTTGTGAAATTTTCTGTCGACGTAAATTTTTACATTTTATTCTATGCCCCCAACTAGTTTTGAATTCATTTGAATCGGTGGTATCATGAAACGCTTCCATTTTTGTTGATATTGACATTGACAATTGATCAGTATTCAGAGGTTTATATTGACAATCGAATAATTCATTAGTTGACCAAAGAGTTGATTGAAAATCTTTATGCATACGTCGTGTAATAGGATTAGGCCACCATGATTTACATTCATTGATGTCATCCGACGAATGTGAATGATTTTGAGATGAAGTTTTAGTTCGATTGTGTAAATTGTATTTTTTTTCAAATCGACTATTCAGTTTCTCCTCTTCCGCTTCCGCTTCCGGCTCCGCCTTCTCCTCCTCCTCCTCCTCCTCCCTATCATCGTCTTCATCAATATCACAGGAAGATAAATCAGATTCATCATGCCCAACAAAAGATCGATGTTTAGATTTTCGCTTAGTTTTTCGACGTTTTCTTAAACGTTTTAAACGTATTAAATTATTATAGTATTCAGCTTCAGAACATGTCAATGTACTATCTGAATGATGTTCATCATTATTCTTTTCATTTGGAAAAAAAATTTCATCCACATTTTCATTGAATGTTGAATTTTGTTTTAATGTACAATTTTCAATTGTTGGTAAACGTTGATTATTTTTTAAATTGGAATGATGTTTACGTGATGATGATGAAGATGATGAAGATGTTGTTGTACAATGTTCAAATTTCTGCATTTCTTCTGATGTAGATTTTAATGAATTCGCTGTGGAAAAAATTTGTGCAACATCGTCCATATCCAGACCTAAATAAAATATAAAATTAAGAAATATTTTATCCCGGTTCAATCTCATGTTTTAAAACCTCAACTGACACCAAAGAGAGAATATCAACATACGATGAATATATAAAAATATAAGTAGGTTTTATCATAATATTGTACAATTTGAAAAGTTATTTTAATTGGAAGTTGAAATCTATGGAGAATCGAACAACTGTTAATGATTTATTTTATATAAGTATTCTTATAATTTTGAATTTAGAGTTATGGAGACTAGTGTGTTTTTACACATTTTTTGAAATCATCAGTCAATCATTGTTAGACCACTCCATTAGAAGAAACCTGGAAGCACTGAAGGACGGCTGTTTCGTCCTGGTATGGGACTACTCATCAGTGGCAGTGCGTATCCACGACTACTGCACCTCGCAGTCATTCGAACCCTAGACCTTCGTCTTGCACGCGAACACCTAATCTCTGTACCACTGAGTCGGCGGCATCTAACAGTGTTAATGTCTAACTCTGATTGATCTAGGGATTTTGCGTGACTTCACCCATTAGTCTTTAGTAGTTACTACCTACACCCGACAGGGTTGAACTCCTCCACTGGTCACGTCTTCTCACTAGAACTCTGAGAATTCCCTCACAAAGCCAGTCACTAGTAAGCTCATATTCTTGTAATTACATTTTTTCTTTACAGGATTCTCTGGTTAGTGAAGTTGGTTTTAAATATTGATGGTTGTATTATATCCACCTGATAAAACTTATAATTATATATTCAGTGTCATGTTTAAACCATACACTGATGAATAATATTCCATAAACGGATAGATTTGACGAATGTCGGTCAGAAAGTTTTTTGGAATATTTCATACTATTTAAAAATTTGAAAGTAGCTGAAATTTTTTCAATAAATTTCTTGCCATTGGAAATCGTAATATGATTTCAGAATTTCAAATGTGACAAGATCATAAAAATAAATTAGTATTTTTGGCATTGATGATATGAAAGTAAAAATAATATTTTTATTTATTTAGTGAGCCCGAAAATGTTGGAAATCGCAGTCAATACTAGCAGGTGTAGACATCAACACCGTTAGATGCCGACGCTTCAGTAGTCTAGAGGTCAAGCGTTCGTATGTGAGACCGAAGGTCCTTCGTTAGAGGTCTAACAACAATCAATTCATAGTCCCTATATTGGAAACGTAGCAGATATATATTGAAACGACGTGTGATTTAAGAGAGAAACATTATTTATTCTGAAGCAGAAGTTGGACAAAATGTTTTCGAAGCTGTTCTCATTGTTTTTCCATGGTGCGTAAACACTGAACTTTGGTCTGAATTTACGATTTGCGAATAAATGTAATTTTCAATTAATGATAGTTTGTGAGAAAATCATACTTCAAATTACAATTATCTAAATAAAACACTTTTCGACAACTCCTCTCGAAATTAGTGTGTTCGTGCGCATAAGACTAAAGATACTGGATTTGAGTCTCACTTCTTGCATCGTGGATGAACAATGCCGAGGAGTATCAAACTTGGACAAAATGATTTTCCTGGTTTTCAGCGGAAGTTTACCTATGATCGGTTCATGATTTCAGTTCAACTTGTAGAGACGATTTGGTTTGGTAACTACGAAGAAGATTGATGAATATTTCAAAAGATAAATAGTCAAAGCTTTTTCATAATTGTTGTCAGAAATCTTTTCATCACTTCTGATAAACTGGTAATCCATTTACTTGAAAGTCAAAACTGTCAATACACTGAGCGTTAAACATTTATCATTTCATAGCATAATTAGTTGTACATAAATATTGAAGTCAAATAGTTGGCCACTAAAGTGTTGAGCTCTACGTTGAAGTAAACGGGGATACTAAATATTTTTCCACACAAATAATTGACATTTTACCTTGTTAAATCCGCCTGGCACCCTTCTCATGTTATTGTTGGTCCCCAAGCCCAGAAATGGGAGTAGCGTCGGGCATGAGCTTAGCTACCCCATCCCGCTAGAAAGACACTAACTAGAAAATGCTGGTCGGTGGCCTATGCTACATTACGGGTAAGCGGCTTAAGAAAGTAAGTAAGTAAGTAAGTAAGTAAGTACTCACTTTATGTAAATTATGATAAGATATCACAGAGAATAACACATGATCTGGTTGTGAAGATTGTTAAGTTACACATTTTTTAAAACCATGAATCGATCAATGTTAGACCACTCCATTAGAAGAAACCTGGAAGCACTGAAATACGGCCGTTTCGTCCTGGTATGAGACTCTTGAGCAGTGCGCATCACAACGATGAAATGAAAATCACCTGTGCTTACTAGTGACCAGTGTCATGCAGAAGCTTCTCCGAGTTCTAGTGGGCAGACGTGACCAGTGAAGTTCAACCTGTTTGGGTGTAAACAGTAACTACCGAAGACTGTGTATGTGAGGTTGCGCAACTCTGTGAATTGATTGAAGTTAGACATTAACACCGTTAGATACCGGTGGTTAGGCGTTCGCGCACAATACCGAAGGTCCTGGGTTCGGATCTTGCGAGGTGCAGGAGTCGTGGATGCTCACTGCCACTGATGAATAGTCCTACACCAGGACGAAACGGCTTCTCAGTTTCTTATAGTGGTCTAACAATGAGTGATTGATAATTTCAATGTGTAAAATACACTAATCTCAATAACTCTAACAGAAAACAATTATTATTATTATTATTATTATTAATATCATGAAATATCGATATGTACATTTAAAACAAATTCCATTTGAATAATGATCATTTACCAGAAACATCTAATGTATCCATCCATGCTAAATCGGTACTATCGATTGACTTATGATCTAATTCATTTGGTGAAGAGATACATGAGAAATTATCGATTGATCTAGGCAGTGGTGATGATGATGACTGATTGAATTGATTTTGATTGATTATTTGTGAATCCAATTCACTAGAGGCATAATAATTCATAAAACCTAATGAATCCAATGTATTTTCAAAATGATTCGGTATACTCAATATATTCATCATTGTTGACGGTAGATTATCATCGATCGGTAAATAATCAGATAATCTGTCAGGTGATGATAATGATCGTTGATTAGTAGAATTTTCTAAGAAAATTTTCAAATCATTTTGACTATTTGAAGAAAATGATGCGATTGATTCGGATGAACATGGTGATGTGGATGATTGCCATGATGTTTCATCAGGACTGTTGATTAACGCTTCATCAATCTGATCAATGGTTTGATTGAATGTTGAATCTGTATGTTCAGTAGGATTCTTGTTTGCTTGTGATAGGAAATCTGAAATTATTTTAGAAAAAAAATTAATTAGGATTTGCATTATGGGATTGTGAAGATTGTTAAGTTACACATTTTTGAAACCATGAATTGATCAATGTTAGACCACTCCATTAGAAACTTGGAAGCACTGATAGACGGCCGTTTCGTCCTGGTATGGGAATCCTCAGCAGTACGCATTCACGACTCCTGCACCCCGCAGGATTCGAACCCAGGACCTTCGGTATTGTAGGCAAACGCCTAACCATCGCCTACAATACCGAAGGTCCTGGGTTCGAATCCTGCGGGGTGCAGGAGTCGTGAATGCGCACTGCTGAGGATTCCCATATTAAGTAGGAGTGAATTTAAGGAAAAAAACACATTCACTTTCATCTCACTTATTCACATCGTTGGCTTAATGGTCTAAAGGTTAAGCTTTCGTACACGAGATTGAATGTCCTGTGTTTGATTACCGACAATCGGAGTCGTGGATATGCACTACTGATGAGTCTGATATTATAGAACGGAACGGGTATCTCTCAGTGCTTCCAGTTTTCTAATTGTGGTCTAACAATAAACGATTCACGGTACCAGTCAGTTACGTCGCTGAAGCAGGAAATTGATGAAACACGGACTTGGTAATTCTCACTGTGCAAATTTAACAGGAATAGTCCTAAATGAAAACTTAAAATACTGAAAACTAAAGTTTGGAGTTCTAATGAGAAGACGTGACCAGTGGCGGAGTTCAACCCTGTCGGGTGTAGGCAGTAACTACCAAAGACGAATTGTTGAAGTCGCGCAAAATCCCTAGATTAATCAGAGTTAAACATGAACACCGTTGGATGCCGTCCCAGTGGTACAGAGATTAGGTGTTCACGTGCAAGATCGAAGTTCCTGGGTTCGAATCTTGCTCGGTACAGGAGTCTTAGATGCTCAGTGCTGATGAGCCCCATACCAGGGTGAAACGGCCGTCTTTCAGTGCTTCCAGGTTTCTAATGGTGGTCTAACAACGATTGATTGATTGATGATTTCAAAAATGTGTAAAATCACACTAATCTCCATATCCCTAATCAAAGTTATTCCCAAAAATTTACTACTAAAAATTATTTAACAGAGAAAAACTTACCGCTAGTTATTTCATTCATTTGATTTATGTCAGTCTTTTCATCCATTGATAATTGAATGTCATCATCGTGTTGTTTAAATAAACTACATTTAAAACAATAAACATAAGAGAAAACAAGTGTATAAATGTTTTATTTTCGATATAGTTTTATCAAAACTAGATGCTATATAAGTTCAATTTATAGGTCATTCAATGTACTATGATATGTTAGAGAGGAAAAAGGTATTTGTCTCAGTTTATTATAGGATTTCTAATTACCATTGTAGAGTCTTTAGATCTTGTGGAAGATGACTCACTCATTGAATTAATAAATCAATATTTTATATGCTGAATTTTTAACTTCAAACCACTGACAATACGAAATAAGTATCATCGATTACTGATGATTACTTACAATTAGAGATGTAGTCAGTCAGTCAGTCAGTTGCAACATAGAACTTTGTACGTATGTACATAAGTTCAGGTTACCATACCACATTAGTACAGAGACGCAAATGTCAGTTCAAATCCCATAGTGATGGAGATAGTAGAGGTAATAATGGTAATGAAGAAGACTAGGGTTTGAAGATATTATTCAAGAAGTATAACTCAGTGAGTGATATAAGTTTAGAAAGACAAAGGTAGAGGTGCTGACGAATCCAAAAGGTTAGGATTTGAGAGAAAACAAAGAGTGGATACACCTGCACCATTGCAAACGATTTTGAGCCATGTTGTTCAAGGTTGCTAATCATCAGTTGATATCGTCTCGCGGACCCCAACCAGGTAAGCAGCCTAAATCTACCAACATGACTCAGTTCACATGTCAGTGACTTCATGGATTTCTACCATGTTTTAGTTTGGCAACCCCTCACTTTCTTCCAACCTACTCCTACACCACAAAACATAGCTCACTAGTAACTACGTGGTAAGTTTACTTGGGAGGTTCAGTGGCAATGAATTGAATTTTTAATTTTGGTTTTAATGAATTCAGTTTTATTCGAAATATTTTCAAGGACTTTAGGTAAAACTTTGCCACTCATGAATTGAATACTGTTAGATCACTTTTAGAAACCTTGAAGCATTGGCTTGTGGCCATTTCGTCATAGTACAGTAAAACATCAGCTGTGTATATCCACAATTCCGTACATGAGAAATGAACTCAAGGTGTTACAGTGCTTGTGCGCGAACGCTTAACCACTAGATCACTGAATCGACATCCATCGGTGTTAATGTCTAACTTTAATCAATTCACGCTATCGTATGACAATCATCCATTGTTTTCGGATTATTTCATTTTGAATTTGCATGATATAGTTCAATGTTTTTTCGCACCAATGAACACTTAATTTTTTATGCCTTGTTGTATGTAACACAGGGATGAATATCTACCTACTTGTAAGTCATCAAAAAAAAACACAAACAACTAGACCACCCATTAGAAAAGTAGCAAAATAATGAACTTTGAAAATGTGTATGGTTTTATTTTTGTGTGTGTCGATAAAATCCAAACCAAAGTTATCATCTTCGTTAATCAATAAACAATGAGTTTACACATTGTTGAAACCATGAATCGATCAATGTTAGACCACCATTAGAAACGCGGAAGCACTGAAGGACGGCCGACTCGTCCTGGTATGGGACTCCTCAGTGGCACTGAGCATCCACGACTCCTGTACCCCTCAGGATTCGAACCCAGGACCTTCGATATTGTGCGCGAATGCCTAACCACCGGACCACTGAGCCGGTACATAACGGTGTTAATGTCTAACTTGATCAAATTCATGGAGTTGCGCAACCTCATACACACAGTCTTCGGTAGACACTGTCTACACCCGAACAGGTTGAACTTCACTGGTCACATCTTCTCTCACTAGAACTAGAACTAGACTTTTAGTCGATTTTTAGTTTTGCATCAATTAAAACCAGAAGAGAATATAACTAAATATAGGGTTGTACTGAACACTAGAAAGTTCATTTCAATTCTGAACTGTAAAAAGAAGCGTAACTTCGATTTGATGTGGAATTTCGCATGTCAAATGAATAATGCTTCATGTGACAGTTTAGTCACAGACACACTACTGACTGAATAAAAGATTGCGAAATTTCAATTGGTTGAACAAGTTGGAAAATAGGAATTGATAGATTTTTTCTATTCCAAACGAAATAAAGTATCAATCTTTGCAAAATAACTGCAAGTTTCTAGAGTCAATGTTTATGATCAAGTTATGATTGTGTAGTCTCATATTGTATTATATTCTGAGGATCTTTTGTATTTAAATAGTTAAAATTTTCTAACGACGACACTGTTTATGCGGTGGTCTCAGGATACACGAGCAATGCTTCGGAGACACCGATGATCGAATACTAGTAACCTACGAAAGTCCTCTACTCTTAACGGCCATTTTTCGCATTCGTATAGTAGGACAGAGTGAACTGCTGAACAGTACACTCGTCCTTTAGTCATCAAACGGATATCTCGCCTACGCCATAGTTGACGCAGGTTGCAAAAAGCCAGTCGAGCCTTCTTTATCCGAGCTGTGATTTCGTCAGTCACCAGACCATCAGTACTGATGAGACTTTCGAGATAAGTAAGGTGGTCTACACGCTGGACTACTTCACTCCCTATCACTAGTTCAGGTGCCGATGCAACCCAATCTTGAAGCAACATTTTGCATTTCGCGGGTGAGAACCGCATCCCGAACATGCTTGCATTGTTGCTCAGGGTAGTCAGAAGACTCTGCATTTTGTCAGCCTCAGAATAATTGTTAACATATTCAAATATCCTACAAAGAATTATTTTGTAAGTGTAAACTCTATTGGTCAATATTATGGTCGTCCTAACTATCAATGTCACATACTTCAATGTTGTCTCCTATTGGTCGTAATAACTGTCGATGTCACTTCAAATGACAAACTGACAATGTCACAGACTTCAGTGTTGTTTTCTGTTCGACCTAACTGCATAAATACGCATTATCTGTAATGTTTTATGACCTAGATCTGGACCCGGATCCCTAGTCCGGGATCGTGATTCCCATCTGGAATCGGACCTCGTACTTTATGGATGCTTGTAGAATACACGTTCTACTTCATATCAAGTCTTCTTTTACTAAATGGGGGTTAGGACACTCGGATTAGAGTAGCATGTCGTGTCGCTGAATTCTCGATCCTAACTCTCGTTTACCAACTAAGATAAACTCGTAACAGTTGCAGCATATCAGCTGACGTGTTTACGTGCATGTATGAGTCAATTATTGTTAGACGACTATTAGAAACTCAGAAGCACTGGACAGCCGTTTCGTCCTGATATGGGACTACTCATCAGAAGTGCGCACCAACGACTCATGCTACTCTCAGAATACCAACCCAAGACTTGAGCTAGAACGTTCAACCTCTGGACCACTGGGTCAAAATCCGACGGTGTTAATTTCTAACTTCGATCAATTCACGGTTTTGCGTGACCTCAACCGTTTGTCTTCGGTAGTTAGTGCCTAGCCCCAACAGAGTTGAGCTCCACTAGGTCTCTTCTCCTCACTAAAATTGAGAGAATTTCTTCACGAAGCTAGTCACTAGTAAGCATATTTATTGTATGACTTTTCATTGGATTAGAGTATCATGTCTTGTCACTGGATCCTCGCTTTCGTTTACTGACTAAGGTTAATTCGTAATAGTTCAAGTATATCAAACTGACATGTTTACATGCATGCGTAACAATAATAGAATAGGAGAAAAATTAGTTTTAATTTCTTTTACACAAATTATAACATACTACTTTTAAACTTGAAAAAAATGTTTTTTCATAATCTTAAATTAATTAATGAAATTTATGTTAATTTGTCTTTTAACCGTTTTGTAGAACATTTCAAATGTATAATAATTTAAATGAACATGTTTAGAAATTCATTATGTCATATTTCAAAGAAATTACAAACTGATTAGGCAGCTCAGTGCTCTACAAAGGTTAGGCATTCGTCTAAGAAACCGAAGGTCTTGAGTTCGATTCCCATGAGTGCGATCATGGATGCTGATGAATAGTTGTCTCATACTACTGTAGGATGAAATGGCGATGTTTCAGTAGTTCCAAAGTCTTTACAAAGTTACATACAAGACATAGATCACTAGGGAAAATCCCATAATGAGAAATGTAATTTGACCTACGCAGCCAGCGTTTTCGATCTACACCCCAAAAAAATGATGCTCATAAACAAGGAACCTAAACAAATCCAAATGTGACAGACAACGTAAACTAGTGACCTTCCCCCACTTCAATGAACTTAAAAAGATACTATCAACACAGAAAAAAAAACACACAGTCACTGCTATTGTGGTGTGTGCTACTTATACGAACGATATAAGTAGTATAAGAAGGGAAGTGAAAGAAGAACTCTCATTGTCATTAGAGGAAAACGGAAAGCAAATGGAGCAAAAGCAAGAAGGAAATGGAGTACCAACAGGAAGGAAAGGAAGCAACAACAGGATTGGATGAAGAAGGATGGAGCGTTGGAAGTCAGGACTCAAAGATGGTGTGCAAATGGAGTGTTCAATGTAATGTTTTCGTTTTTAATTGACTGAGTGCAAATTTGCTCATAACAAACTATCGAGCCCGCCTCAGTCTTCTCACTAAGAGGTACACTCAAGAGATTTGTCATACTTTCATTTACGCCTCCTATACAGAAGGACCTAATGGCTTTACTAAGTGTATCTGTTTGAAAAGAGGCACTAGTCAGAAATTCTGAATGATGATAAGGTATGAAGTAGAAATGCAAACGAGACCGAAATTACCGTGCTCCGACTCTCATGAGTACTGGTGCGAGTCGTGAATGCACACTGCTGATGAGTCCCATAGTACATATATACATTGTTGCTAGATAGTTCGATCATTGACTGATCTCCTTGTACGGTTGATTTGTTCACACTACTACTACTACTACTACTACTACTACTACTCCGACGACTACTACTCCGACTATTACTACTACTACTACTACTACTCCGACGACTACTACTCCGACTACTACTACTACTACTACTAATACTACTACTACTACTACTACTACTACTACTACTACTACTACTACTCCGACGACTACTACTCCGACTACTACTACTACTCCGACGACTACTACTCCGACTACTACTACTACTACTACTACTACTACTCCGACGATTACTACTCCGACTACTACTACTACTACTACTACTCCGACGACTACTACTCCGACTACTACTACTACTACTACTACTCCGATGACTACTACTCCGACTACTACTACTACTACTACTACTACTACTACTACTACTACTCCGACGACTACTACTACTACTACTACTACTACTCCGACGACTACTACTCCGACTACTACTACTACTACTACTACTACTCCGACGACTACTACTCCGACTACTACTACTACTCCGACTACTACTACTACTACTACTACTACTACTACTCCGACTTCTACTACTACTACTACTACTACTACTACTACTACTACTACTACTACTACTTACTGAGTAGTAATCTATGTCAATTTGTCTAATTTGAAAGACACTTTGAAGCACATAGAATGATTCATTAATGACCAAAAGAGATCTCATTTACCTAGACATGCTCAGTTGTTAAGCATCAAAGAACAGTAGATTTAGATTGAAGCTTTCAATAACACAATATCAACTTAAAGTCATGTAATCTAGGTAGAATATGATGAGGTTTATGCAATAGGCACCAATTTGTATGATCATAGTGTAACCTAATAATATATCACATTTGTTATACAGTTATAGGGATTATTGAATTTTATTGAAATCATGAGTCAGTTATTAATATAGAACAATTAGAAGCATTGAATGATGTCCATTTCATCCTACCGTAGGACTGATCAGCAGTGTGCATACACGACTCCTCTACAACTCACACGATTCCAATCCACAATCTTGAGACTCTTGTTTGAATGCTTAACCTGTAGACCACTAAGCAAGCATCCAACAATGCTCATGTCTAACTTTGATCAATCTCAGATTTAATACAACCTCATCCATTGTGTTCGATAGTTACTGCCTACACCACACTACACAGGGATGATCTCTACTGGTCACGTCTTCTCACTAGAACTGTGATAATTTCTTCACGAAGCTAGTCACTAATGAGCATATTTAAAGATTTTTCGAAATAGGGTTAAGAAGATTGTTGTTTTAAATTGACATCATGTGTCAATCATTGCTTCGATCACTGCATTCACGTATCTAATGATGGTCTTACAATGATCAATCCTGAGGTTTGAATAAATTTTAAAAGAGGTTTTGATCACATTAATATTATTATTATTACTACTGTAGCTCAAAACGAATAACTAAACATTATAATTGACAATTGAAATAGTTCAACAACAGTTCAATTGATCATGTTCAAACAAACAAAAATTTGAAATCTAAAGCAAGGTAAATTTAAATCTTGTTACACACAGAGAGAGATCAGTAACATTCATTCAATTTAATGTTCAACTTAATTATACTAGATATTAAAGTAAGTTTGAAAACATTGAAAATTAGAAAATTCTAATTACTTTATTCATCATTCATTAAAATGAATTCAACCCGATATCGAAATTTTCAATAATCCCGCATTTTTCAACACAAAAAAAAACTTAAACAAAAGCTAAAAATGTGTTTTCTTTTCATATGCTTTTATTCTTTCTATAAAATTATTCATTATTCAATTAAAATTTTAGCATGATCAATTTATGCAAATGTAACTGATATCACCATTTATATTATTTATGTCATATACAGAAAATTGAAAAGAAATCTTATCTTGATGAAACAACTCATTAATTATCTCAATTTTAAAACAAACCAACCAACAGTTGTTTGTTAGTTGTACAGTTTAAATTATCATGTAAAATTATGATGGTTAACAGTCATTATTGTGTAAAAGGATGTATTCAGTCTGCATAAATACACACACACACATAAATTAGCACAACGGTTATGCATATACGCATATATGCAAATGCAAATGCAAATAAATGCATGATGAGGGTAGCTGTTGACAATGTTCAATTCAGTGTGAAACAGAAAATACAAACAAACAAACAAATAAACATGGATGATGCGAACAAATATCAAATTGATTATTTCATTTCACATGTTGATGTTCATCCATTGGTGTTACATCATATTCTATGATGATGATGATGATGATGATGACGGTGAATGTTACATGTTCAAACACATTGAATGCATGATCAATGTTCAATGTTCAATCACACGGTGTTGTTCTACTTCGCACTTGCAATAAATATTTCACTATTGAAGAACAATAGTTGTTTTGGTGATTCAGTAAAAAAAAATTATGTAAATCATCTATCTATCTGTCTCATCATTCAGTCTCTCTCTCATAGTTTAAACGAGTTGTATTTTATCATGTAACTAACTCATTGATAAAGGAATATGACATAAGATTGTAATTTTACTACACACAATTTATATGAAGTTTAATCAATGTAATTTGCATTATTATTGTTATTTCGTTTTAGACATGGTATATTCTTCTAAAAAAAGGGACAGTATAAAAAATTTAATGAACTAGTAAGTAGGATGGTATGCTGCACTGGTATCCAAAAGGTTGGGAGACTGCTTCAGCTTTTAACCTACAGGTTTAGTCTACAAGACAGTGTGTGGTGCGCGCTACTTATAAGTAGTGTATGACGCGAGTGTAAACGTAATGTCTGGTGGCAGCAGAAGATGGGGGAAGATCAAGAAAGGAAGAGTGGGGGGAACACAATGGAATTTGTATGAAACGCATGAATAGTGAGTGAAATGTCAGACAGTGGATTGATGTTTTACGATATGGTTTTCCTATTTTACTGAGTAACTGTAATTTGCGATAAATACAATTCGGTTGCCCTCACTTGTGTTCTCCTTCACTGCAAGTGGATTAACGTTAGGAGATACTGTCCCATGGATAGCTATTGACTAACAGTAGATTCGTATGCCATTTTTCCTCATAGGATCTTGGATCGAAAGTGTACCAGTGGTTTAGAGTAATGGTTTTATAACTGCCATGGTTTAAATTTAATGAATAACACCTGTGCAATGAGGAAGCAGTGAATAGGATTTCTCTGATAGTGACCATATACGCCTTTACATAGGAGAGGATTTCTAGAGGAGGACTGATCTCTGCCCATTCTCATCTGTACCAAAAACATTTGCTCACTGCTGATGAGTCCCATACCAGGGTGTTCATTCTTGAGGGACGTGAAAGCAATGCTGAGTTAGTGTTGGTCCTAATAACTTGGCAGCATGATCTCAGAGCTGAAGGGACAACTAACTTTTTATGGGAAATTTTTGATGTTCTAGCTTCGCTCTTCAAAAGACCTTACTTTCGGAGACGGAAGTCCGTGGGGTAAACCTTTTCTAACCCTTTCTTTTCGTTGTGAGAAAGTAACTTCACTGCAAATGCTTATTGTTTAAGTGGAGGAACATCTTACTGCTATCACTTTTCTCTACACTCAGAAGTACGACTTCGACCTCGTATCTTAAGTTGTTGCCTTTAGTGTTGCCGCTCTTTGACCGATCTTCCCAGCATGGTTGGACCTTAAGAAACAAGCTCGGTTGAGCGATCACCATGTCAAATTAGTAGCTTAAGTTAGAATTAGTGAATCTAATGAGAAGGCGTAACTAGTAGAGTTCATCACAGTCAGGTGTAGGCAGTAACTATCGAACACAATGGTTGAGATTGTGCTAAATCTGAGATTGATCAAAGTTAGACATGAGCATCGTTGGATACCTGATTAGTAGTCTACAGGTTAAGCATTCACACACGAATGTCAAGATTGTGTATTGGAATCGTGTGAGTTGTATAGGAGTCATGTGTGCGCACTGCTGATCAGTCGAAACGGCCATCATTCAATGCTTTCATGCTTCTAATTGCTTTATACTAATAACTGATTCATGATTTCAAATCAGTCGTCAGTCAGTCAATTGCAACGTAGAACTTCGTACGTATGTACATAAGTTCATGTTGCCATACCACATCATCAGCACAGAGACGCAAATGTCAAATTGAGTCCCATAGTGATAGGAAGATAGTAGAGGCATTAATGGTAATGAAGAAGACTAGGGTTTGAAGATATTATTCAAGAAGTATAATTCAGTGAGATAAGTTTCAAAAGACAAAACTAGAGGTACTGACGAATCCAGAAGATTAGGATTTGAGAGAGCACAACGAATGGATGTACTTGCGCCATTGCAAACAGTTCTCAGCCATGTCATTCAAGGTCTCTTATAACCATTGATGACTTTCGTCTCGTAGACCCTAACCACGTAACCAGCGCCTACATCTACCAACATGACTCAATCCACTTGTCACAGTGACTTCATGGATTTCTGCCATGTTCTTTTAATCTGGCCATAATTTCAAAGGAAAAACTCAATCATTTCCATAACTGTCGGATGAAAAACACAAAAACACCATTTAGATTTGTGTGAGAGAAAAAAAAAAGTAATTCACTGTTCAACGCTCAATGTTTCATTTGTTTATTCAATATATGTAGATACATATATACATAGTCAATAGGTCTTTACTTATTTAATCCACATATGATTCATTTTCTCACTAAGTGTTGTGTTATATTGAAAAATTACAACTTGTACATACAGGTTTGAAAAAAAAACCAGATTGTTTTTAAAAAGATACTTTTCAGAAATTTATATAAATAAATGTATGAATCTATGAGATATAGGTGATAGTTTTTATCATTTTCACAAGAAAATATACTGAATAATAATAATAATAATTGGCTTTGCTAATCACATAGAAAGAACCTTAGTAACTGTATACATGTATAGGTTTATCAAATGACAAGTTAAGTTTATTTATTAACACATAAAAATATATAAACAATATGAATTGGACCATTATTACTATTGTTTGTTAATTAATTGTATCGTTGATTTTTAAAGCGTATTCAATTTTCAATTTTCAAAGTTCAATAGTGGTGTATAATGTGGGTTATATGGAGCACAATGCAGTGTGATGCAGAGAACATTGAACGCAAGGAGTAAATTATAGAGGCTGGTATATTTTTTAAAAAAAAGAGTTTATAGTTAGTTCGTACAGTTTGAAATCATTAATTAATAAATTTTGTTAGACGTACGTACATCAGTTCCTGTTGTGGTGCGAGCTACTTATAAGTAGTATATGACGTGAGTGTCAACGTAATGTCTGGCAGCAGAAGATGGGGGAAGATCAAGAAAGGAAGAGTTAGAAGGACACAATGGAATTTGTATGAAACACATGAATAGTAGTGACAATGGATTGATGTTTTGCAACAGGAACAGTCCAGTTCGATATGATGAACTGATATTTTGCAAATGAACGATTTACGATATGGTTTTCCTATTTTACTGAGTAACTCTGCAATTTTCGTTAAATACAATTCGGTTGTCCTCACACCTGTGTTCTCATTCACTACACTGTTGCCATACCACATTAGCACAGCGATGTCAATGTA